TTTTTTTTTTTTTGTTTTGACACGAAATCGATCTCTTGAACTTTTGGATGCAGAGGCGTTGGACCAGAGGACGCATCCCTAACGCTTGATGAGACGGTGACGGTATTGTACATGAGCTCGATTTTCGCTTGGCCTCCTCCGCCGTTCCCGACCGGCGCAAAATGAAAGCATGAGCCAGATCTTCCTCCTCGCAGCCTCAGCCTTGGATGCATGCTCAACTGCCGATCGGCTCGGGATATCTGTTTGGCATTGTCCGACCGATCCATGGCTGCACTGGTACGAGGCGTCGGTACGAGGGCATTGCCATGGTTTGGCTGCGGCTGCGATGGCTGCTGTTCTCTTTGTGCACGCGTGGGTGCCTGACAGCCGCCCACCTGGTTGGCAGCCGTGCAGCGCACCCTCTATCGCACCCGCCTTCGCACCCGCGTCCGCACCCTGGCTGACCTCACGAGCGCACTTGCAGAGCTCCTCGGAGAATTTCGCTCCTCCTCAGCTGACCTGGCGCGAGTGCTCCCTCCTCGATAGTCACACTTCTTCCGCCCGCATCGTGCATCTTGCAACGTGCATCGCGCACCTCGAGCTTCTGCGGCATCACAAGCGACTGTCGCTTCGCCTTGGCCTCACCCCATGCAAGCAGAACAAGGCGCCAGAAAAGGGTGCCTCGGTCGTGCATTTGGCCGCCTCCCGAATCGGCTCTTCATCACACCGGAATCCAGCCGAGTCTTGGCCTGCTTCTGCCGCTGTTTGGTTGATGCTCGCGTGCCATCGATAGCGTGACGTCACCCAAACCCCGTCGAACCCTTCCGTTCTTCGTTCGCGTCTCTGCGAACCATGAAATTCTCGTTCGGCAGCAACGCTCGGCTCGTCTGCCGTTCCCCCTCGGACAGCCGTGTGCCTGAAAACCTCCTCTAGCCGCGCTCAAACCACATGGCCCACGGTGGTCAATGCCGGCGAATGCCACTTTCTTCCAATTCCTCCGAGCAACGCGCTCAACTCCCAAGAGATCGGTATCTGGTACAATAACATGTCGGCATGCCCCGATGGCATGACGATGAATAAGCTACAGTGGAGCCAAGTTCAGCCTGTCAAAGTGGCAGCGTACAAAGTACAAGTAAACGAGGCGAGGCGGGGCCAGGCCACTCGTCGTGGCGCCATTCCGATATCGGGCCGATCCATTCCCGACGCGCGAGATCGTCGCTCAGACGCGCTCCTCCTATTGTCCCTGCTCATCCAGCTCCTCCTCGTCCTCGTCCTCTTCATCGTCGTCATCAGCATTGCCGGCGTTGGCAGCGAGACTCGCAACAAGCGCCTCCAACTGCGCTTGCAACGACGCCGCGTCGCGATCGTCCGAGTCGCCTCCCTCTACTTGCTCCTCGGCCGCATCTCGAACAGCCTGAGCCCCGTCCGGGGCTCCGTCCTCGTCGACTTGCTCGCGCGCACTCGCCGAGTCTCGGTCCACCTCCATGGCTTCCGGCTGCGTCGAACGATCGGGCAGATCTCCTACGCCCGCATCGCTTTCCGCTCCCGCTGCTGCAGCGGAGCCCTCGTCTTGACCTTGGCCCACGTCGCCGCCCTGAGCTTCCGCTTCGCTCTCCTGATGCGCCTGCAGCGAGGCCGTGAGCTGCTGAAGGACTGCAGACAGATCCATCTCCTCCGCGTCTCCTTCTTCGTCCTCCTCCTCGTCTTCCTCTTCTGCCGGTTCCCCTGCACTGTTGGCCATCCCCTCGGGACCCTTCGCGGGCGGATCTGCAGCAGTAGACGAGGCCTTCGCGCTTCCTCCTTCCGCTGCCATCGGCTCGTCGGCGTGACCTTCGACGCCCGCTTCTGGCAACGAGTCCGGCTCCGCCTCGGCTGCTGCGATGGCACGCTCGTCCGCTTCGTTGTCGGACTCCTCCGAGTCGCCCTCGTCCGCACCTCCAAACGCCGACGTGAGTGCACGGATGGCATCCTCGTACTCGGCCAGGTCGATGCCCTCCTCCAACTCGCGCGCCTCGTCGCCTTCTCCCGCCACGCTCGCTGCCGCTTGACCTTCCGTCTCGGCAGGCTGAGGCGCAGCGGCCTCGTCGGCAACGGCCGGCTTGCTCGCAGTGTTCGGCGCACTTTCGATCTGCTGCAGCGCAGCCGCAAGCGTTTGTGATACCGCCGAGTCCAAGTCCTGCTGTGACGCAGTGCCAGCCAAGCTTGACAGCGCGGATGCTAGCTGCGACGAGGCTGACGTCGCTGCCGAGGACGTAGGCACAGTCGCGCGCGGTGGCGCTGCGGGAAGCGTGCCTGACGCGCCCATCGCGGGCATGTTGGCGGCGCGTGCGGCGGCTGCAGCCGCGGCGTTGCTGCTCAGCTGGCCGAGCAGCGAATTGGCGAGCACAGGATTGATGGGAGAGCTCAGGTCGTTGAGCATGCTTGCCAGCTGCTGCATCATGGTCGGCTCGCTCGTCGTCGGCAGCGGTAGCGACGTGGGTCCCTTGGCGACCGGCAGACGGCGTTGCGTGGCATTCGTGCCACCTGCGACGCCCATCCTCCCGGGCGCGACTGGGCTCGCTGCCACGGCGGACATCGACGCATGCGGTCGCACGTATTGCGGCATGGTCGCGGCCGCTGACTGCGCCGCCGCCGCCGCAGTGGCGGTAGCAGCAGCATCGTGATAGCCCGTCTGCGTCAAGAGGTAGGCGAGCATCTCCTCGGCCGGGCCATCGCTGGGTCCAGAACGGATGAGTTGGTAGAGCTGCTTGACCGAGTCTGCGTCCAGCTTCTTGGCCGTTCGTTTCTGGTACTCGAGGATGATCGACGCCGCCGAGCCGTTCTGGAATATGCTGCTCGCAGGGTTCGCCAGCGGCGCTGCGCCCGGTTGTCCATACGGACGCGGCCCCGCACGCGCGCCTTTGCCGGTCGGTCGCAGGCCAGAGTCGCCCACATTGCGATAGGCCTGACTGTCCTTGAGTGGGCTGACGGCCAGCACTTCGCCGTTGAGGCCCGGCGTGACCATGGGGTGGTCTCTGCCGACCTGGGGCCGGCGCGTCGGCTTTCTGGATTCGCCGGGACTCGACCACGATGAATTGATGCGATACATGCTTCCGGTCTTGAGCAACCTGCCTCGCTTGAATGCCTTTTGCAACGCCTGATGTGCCGATGGACGGAACTTTTTGGTGAGCGGATAGGTGACCTGCATCCAGTTGAACAGTGTGCGCGGCGGTGCTTCGCCCATGATGCGCAGACCTTCGACGATCATGTCTTCGTAAGAGGGCAGCGTGCTGGTGCCCAGTGGTCCTTGGACGATGACAGGCTCGGGCTCGGGCGACCAAGACGCGTCTCGATGGCTGGCCATGCCGGGAGAGAGGCTCGTAGCTGTTCCAGCCGGATAGGTGGGCGTAAAGACTGGGTTGGCGCTGGCGCCTGTGAGGATGGCGATCGGATCGCTGAGGGCAGCGGCAGCGCTAGACGACGATGATGCGGGCGTCGCAGCTGTCTGCGACGGACCTGCTTGTGGCGAGAGCCGCTTCTTTGCCTCTTCGAGCTGCTGCAAGAGACTGGCGAGTGCGCCGCCTTGACCTTCGGCTGCTGGCATGCCGCTTGTCGACTGCGCATTGTTGGTACTGGCGGATAGATTCGATTCCTTGTCCTGGCCTGCGAGGCTCGACAGCATGGCGGCAATGTTGCCGATCGGCAGGGCTGCTGGAGTGGAGGCCGAGGCGGGAGCAGCCGCAGCAGGAGCGAGCGGCAAGCCCTGAGGGCCCAGCATGGTGGTGTGCGCCGAGGACGACGAGCCGAGGATAGCAGCAATCTTGTCGGAGATGTCTTTGCCAGGTGCAGGCGTCGGCGAGGCTGTGGTGACGGGTGGGTTGCGGTCGTTGGACGTCGTCTGCGTACGCGCGATGGCGCCTCTGGATTCGCTCGCGCCAATCCGCCTTGCAGGTGTTGAGGCGGGTGTGGGGGAAGGGGTGGCACGGGTCGTTGCAGCCGCACTACCAGGGAGACTCCCGCCAAAGTGGGCGGCAATGGCCGCTGCTAGGGCAGCGTTGGACGGCATAGGGCCGTCGCCAACGATGCTGCGGAGCGCAGCCGCTGGCAAGGACGGCGGTGCGATGGATGGCTGACGTGCTTTGGCGGGGGCAGAGACGCCGGTGCGCAGAGCTGAAGCACTGGCTCCCGAGAGCGCCGGCGGCAGGGGAGCGCCGTTGGGCCCGCGTGCTGGCTGGGCCTGTTGGCGGACCATGGCGTTGATCGAGTTGATGAGGTTGGTGAGGGAAGCGTTCTGTGCAGCGTCCTTGGGCGGGC